CAACATCGGTTGTTCAAGTTGACGATATACATACCATAGTATATGCATGACCGCATTTGGTGTAGATGTAGCAGACACTAGGAGGTGGGTCAGAACCGTTTCGAACGAGAATATTGAGAAGGCAACTTACTGTCTCCTGGTACACATTTCGAAGAGGACTGACTTAGTCAAGGAGAATGTAGAAGCTGGCGAGTTGACGAGGTTGTCGGATACCATGGTCCAGTCCTGTCGGCAGGCCTTATAAATACCAAGTGTCAACAACGTAGGTAAGCATATGAGGCCAGTAGAGCTAGTAGCGTCCACGTTGATCTCGGGCAGTGAGCCGAAAACTCACATTGATTGTGACCGCATCACGATGAGCGAACATGAAAATGACAAGTATTTTTCTGGACGGAGGTACATACAGTGCTGCGGCGCCGTGTGAAGCTGATGTGAATCAAGATTCTGAAAGGAGATCGTCCTTGGAGATATTTTGCTTGAAGTCTGAAAGTGAGATGTGGAAGGGGTGATGATATACCGCCGCGGAGAAGAGACAAGGAGGTAAGAAATCATGTCTTCTCATACGGGAACGTCATGACCGGCGGAACACCACTACATGATGTGGGTGCAATTGGGAAGGCGAAGGAAAGGCTGGCCAGATCCCAACCTGGAGCTGCTTGAGGCACAATGACAAACCCTCACGTTACCTGGCAAAACCGCGCAACCAAAGGCTCCCTGGAGTCTGATTGTCTCCTCTCGCAGAGCTTTCAAGGTCATAGAGTCTTATCTGCACTATGCCTGAATACAAGAGGTCAGCAACGATAACATAGACCATCATCTGAAAAATTGCATCGCCATACTGGCCTTCCGGCTTCGTCATACTGCTAAACAGCTCTATTCCGTTGTCTCAGGCTGTCTCCTATCTCTCTCGGATGTCCCGGGGAAAGAATAACGCCTTCGTAGTTGGGGCTGTGGGCGGCGGTGCGTCCGCCAACACGGCCGAATGCATCCACGAAAAGTGTTGTTCGCTCCTGGTCGTTCGTGGCCGTCGGATGGAAACCACTTCGGGCGCTTCGGACATGAAACAGGGAGACTCCGCGCGAGCCCAAATTTGCCACCCAAAGACCTCACAAGCACTCGCTGCTCAGTCAACTTCTCCATTGAGATGGTGAAGACGAAAAATAAGTCAGAGACATCGGGAAAACGCAAGAAGGTATTTGTGGATCATCAGGTGCGTGGGCAGGCTCAGCGGCACAGCCAGTGCAGTCACCGTCAGAACTGTTCAACTCATAACCTGTGCTTACTGGCATCTCATCGTCCAATTGCAGGACGCAGCCCTAGATTTAGCTAAGTCAATCGGGGAAGTCCAGGAGGATAAGGCCAAGAAGAAGGTCGATAGGCTTCATCATCATCAACGAACCAAGGTGCCAATTCTTGCAGGGACGTGTACCGCTATGCGCTGACGACTTCTTTGACTTCATTGTAGGATTCGAGTGGTAATTCCCCAGGTGACCGAAAAGCCCGATCTTCGAGCTCTGCAAAACAAAGACTGGTATGCTGCGCATGATCTCCAAGCTGTTTGGGAGCTGCCAAGGACTCACGAGGATTTCTACTACTGGTTGGTAATTGTAGAAGCAAGTCAAGGCGGCTCTCGTTGCAGATCGAGCCAGGGCGAAGAAGGAGAAAGCAAAACTCCGCAAAGAAGCTCGTAAATCGGGGACCTCACCATCGAGTGCAACTGAGGTCAATCCTCAACCTAACTCTGATACCCCAACATCGAAAGGTGATGAGACTCAAGGGCGGACGAAGTCACGGAAGAGAGTCGCATTTGCATGAGCCAGAACGTGCACCGTTCCACTGGACACTCGACTTGCTCTCTTATCTCTATCCAAGTACGACACCTTCCGCCCCGCGCAAGAAAGCTTGAAGACGAGGTCAGCACTCAACTGCTCGGAAGGATCTCTCCATGTCTTCCTCGTTATTGACGAATGTTCACAATGCAGAAGCACCTTGTGATTGTGCCTCGGTTGGCAGATCCCCCCAGCTACACGAGCCCACGCATGAATGTTGAACTCTCAACACCATTGACACTCCTGTGTAGAATCGTCACCCATGCAGATCACTGCAAGATGGATCTGCTGCCGGCGCTGATCCAAATGACAATGTCAACATCCTTCATCGAAGCTTCATCTCGCGATCCGTTCATGTAGCTACTTGAAGACATGTGGGATGCCCAATGCGCTCGTAGTATCCTCCCGTCTGAACATCTCAGCTCAGTCGTTCACCCTCCGTTTTGGCAGGAAGCAATCGCTTCAACGCTACCACCGAGATTCAGATCAATGCATCTCAGAAGATGGAGTTATCAATGAGTCACGGGAAATTACTGAACAGAACGGTTCACTGAAAAAAGCAGAGCGAAGCTCAACACCCACTTCTCACTTTGAAAGTTGTGCATAACGTTAGGTATAATCAATACATCCCCCCGTTCAGCGATCCTGTGAATAGACTTGTGTGCTGTGGCATCCAAAACAGGTCTCAACCCCTTCCTACACCTCCACCTCCTCGTCCTGCTGAGCATCGACATCCTCTTCCTCCACCTCCCCCAAATCCTTCAAAAATTCTCCGAAATCCACATCCCGATCCAACAAATCACTAACATGCCCTACCTGCGCCTCCACATCAAACTGACTGTTGTACATCCCAAACATCCCACTACTCCCTTTGACCAGACCCGGGGCGCTGGACTGACTGTGCTGAGACTCCTGGTGCGCCCCAAACCCGCGCCGGAAAATACTCTGGCTCAGAGACGAACCTGCAGCGTCACGACGCTGAGTAGACGTAAACTGAGGACTGAACCGTCCAATCCCCAGCCCGCCCGTCCCGAACAGTGGGGAAATCGGCGACCGCGGTCTGCGTTTGAGAGATTGGGGTGTGGACTGCGAGGATCCGGAGGCGGGAGAGGAGAAGTACGTCTTCGCAGGAGAAACCTCCGGAATGGCGTCTTCGTCGTCCTGCAGTGTCGGCAACACGTCCTTATGGGGAGGGTCGGGATTGTGGTTGGAAGATTCGCCGCCATCGTCGGGGATTATGCTGTCTTTTGAAAGCTTGGTCTTCCGTGAGGGAGGGCGCGGACGAGGCTTGGATCTGCGCGATGACGCAAGGAGATCTGTGAGACACGGCAACTCTTTCCTGTTCGGTGTTTCAGGAACGGGCAAGCCTTTGGCGTTACCCAGCCCGCTGCCCGTCCGTACGAGTCCGACGCGTTGGGGCGGTGAATTCGGTTTGGATAATGGTGGTGTGACCACGGGAGGGGAGGACGGTGGCAACGGCGCGCTTGAGGTCAACCGTTCGTTATCGTTTGGCGCGTCAGTACGAATTTTCTTCGAAACGCCGGTCACGAAGACGTCGTCATCCGGAGGTGTAAGTGGGCGGGACCGTTTCAGCGGTCTGCTCTCCCCCTTTGTACGTATGCGCGCAGATGGTGATATGATGGGGAGGCTGGATGACATTCCTAACCGTTGAGGCGAGTATTGACCGGGGCGAGCAGGGCTGAATGGGGATGTATGAGATGGCGGAGGTGAAGGTGGAGAGGAATAGAGAAATGGTCTAGGGTAGATCGGAGCTGGTTTGTGTTTCTCCGTAATAGAGCCCTGTTTGACTTTTTCCGCATCCTTTGGGGTTGATGTTTCCAAATGAGATGGAAACGACGGAGGTAAAAAGCTCTGTATGAAATGTCAGATATTACAGCGATCATTATAGTATAGAATACTTACTGCTTCTGAAATATCTGCGATACCCATCGGACTAGATATGTCCATCGGCTCAGGAACCTCCTTCACTGATGGCGGAGTCTTGGGACGTTCCGGAGATAACATCTCAACGTCTGCCTCAGGCTGAGAAGGTACGCTCTTAGATTCCTGCATTCCCCGACCAGGTTTCCCGGAGTTCGACGGACCAGCATGTTTCACGACAGGGAATTCTAGCGGTGACTGACGCTTCGGCCTAGGAACAGGTTTGGCCATGTTCGTCTTTGCCACCACTGCGACAGCTGAAACGGGGGTTTCGACGGTAGGTACCTCCGGAAGCTCTGCGCGGACCACCTCCGCCTGCCAGCTGAGAACGCGATTGGTGACCCTATCCTCTTTCGACACAGGATCTTCCTCTTCCTCCCTCAACACCTCCGCACTAAGACGGGGTTTCTTCGCGGGACCGTTACTCCAGTACTTCGACTTTGTCTCCCGCGCTTTGCCCTTCCCCTTCGCATCCCGACTGGTAGCTGCCGGCGCGTTCAGCTTCCTCGCAGCCCACCTCCTCTCACATTCCTCCCACCCCTCCTCAGTATCCGGCATCACAAACACATAATCACCAACATCCACCTCGACCTTCTCGCCCACCCTAACACCCGGTGCGGCCCCTCGTCTCCTGCTTGTAGATGCCATCCGTACCAATCGACTGACATGTCCCCATTTCGGATGGGAAGGCTCGAAATGACTGTCCTCCACGGCGCGCAATATCAAGCCTTGAAGGTCAGTGGCACGCGTAGAGAGACCCGGTGATGTAGGACGTGAGGGGGGTTCCAGTTCGGATGGGAGGGAAGCCATCTTGCGGTATTGTTCGGCCAGCCGTTCGATGTAGCCTTGTCTCGGTGTGGCTCCATCGTCAGATAGTGTCTCGTCTAGTGACGATGAGTCGTCTAGAAAAGCCTTCCGCCTCGGAGGTGGTAATCGGAGAGAGGGGAAGATTGGTGTGCATGATTCCAAGGAGGCCATGGCCAAGTTGGGGTCAACGTGGTGGTATCCAAGAAACTGTGGCGCGTTCACGGATATTCTCTGGCCAGAGTCCAAGAATTATGCGCGACGAACAAAAAGTAAGCACCCAGTAGCGCAATCGTGGCGAGTTTCACGCTGCTTCACTGAGGAAAGCAGCTGGTCCAGGTTCAAACTGTAGAACTGCCAAATACAGCAGCGGAAATGCTAACCGAACACGTGGCACGTAGGCTATTCATCTCCGCTATCTCACATGGCCGCCTGGCGAAATGGCATCGCGTCTGACTACGACGAGTAATCAGGAGATTGCAGGTTCGACCCCTGCGGTGGTCATTACTTTTTGATTTTGATTTTCCTGCGTTCTCGCCATTCTCTTGAAAAGAGTCCTGGACGAGAGTCTACTGTCTGACAAGGCAAAATGGCGTATGATACCGCAACTCTCTCAATCTAGATAATGGTTGAGAATATGCCCATGCACTGGAGGCCACGGCGTACAAACGCCCTGTACGACACCAAACTTGATTACTGTATCTTCAAGTAGCCACCTCTACACGTCTGCTGCCCCCTTGCTCGGACTTGGTGCCATGCCCAACGGCACGCCTTGTCCCATATTCTGTGCCCTAGAAACCTCCACCTGCCTTCGTTGCACCATAATCAACAGGGAGGCAAGAACAACATCTTGCATGGAGAAGACACTGGGATGTATTGCAAATGTCGGGCGGGTTGGGGGTTCCGCTCGTCACGGTGGGTCGGCTGGTTGATACCAAGCCACGGAATTCGAGTCACCGTTTTCAGAAGACAACTGATAACCGCAACGTTAGGACTGTGCCGACACTACCATGATGTTCAAATGAAGACCGTACCAAGTGGTGAGCACTTCCAGGGTCCCATCGCCATGTATACTTTGTAGACTGCGAATTCAGTCTTGCGCCTACACTAGAACCAATTTATCAAGTATGAGCCTGCAATGCACAGTGCAAAACTCACAGATCAGAGAACGTCTTGTCGTCCATCCAATCGTTAATACGAATAAAATCTCCGCCTCGAAACGATATCTTGTCTGACTTGAAGACCGCATCCACGACAAACGAGGCTACCTCTTCCGTTTGTCCTCCTCCCGTGGTCTCTATCATCGTCCGCACGCCCTTGATAGGTAGCCCTGCAGAGGACCTGATGTTGTATATTGTCTCGCCGGTCTGAACATCCACGACGCTAGAGTTCATCAGTTTCGCCCCTTTGAAAGTCATAACTCTGCATCCCTTGGGATATGGCGTTGACATGATATGTTAATGGCAAGTGTGTTGATAAGATTTAAACCAGAAAGAACCACCTATTTATACCTACTGGGACGCTAGTACAGCAAAGCGCAGCCTATTGAAAGCCTGTCGGAAACCCAAAGGCCTCCACCCCGTTGGAGGATTGGTACTGACAGATCTTGATCGTGAGTGCGCAGCCTTGAGGAGCTACAATGGCGTTTGCTCATCCATCAAAGATTCTAGTCCAACCTTGCTGGTCACCATGAGGTCATGGAGAGACTTCAGGGGAGACTTGCGGTTGAGAACTGTGTCGACCCGAACCTCAACATCAAATGCGTCGAGCTGGCCAGGGTAAGGCAGGGGGTTTACAAGCAAGAACGTTTTGCTGGCATAAAAAGTCCAATGGTATGTACACGAACATCCGCGCCGGTTTGGGCATAGGCAGTTGATATAGTGATGAGCTCGTTTCTGACGTTTCATTCAGCAAAGGACAACTGAGCGAACAGTAAACTCACCTAGATACTAGCTGTCGGCGAGACCATGAAGGGTAGCACTTCCGCAAACCTAGAGTTAACGGCCTTATCCATCTGCACTAACACCATGAGAGATGCGACGATGGTGTCTTGCATTGCGAAGCCATCAGGATGGATAGCGAGCGTGGCAGGCATCGGAGGGTTGGTAGAGCGAACCGATGGGTAGTACCAGGCTACAGGCTCTGGGTGATGACTTGTCGTCAGCTACACGCATCATCAGTTCATACGTTCGCGACACATAGGAGGGTGAGTAAAATACCGCTATTGTTCTCGGAGAATTGGGTACCCTGTCCCAAGTGCAACGAACCTTTTCCAACCCGTTTCCCATGGATTGTCTGCAGGTTTGAGCCGTCAAAGATCCACTTAGTGCGCAAGAGCAAGGGGGAAAAATACACTCACTCCGGGTCGGTGAACGTCGATTTATGCATCCAATCTTTCAATTTCATCGGTTCTTCGCCACGAAAAACAATCCGATCGGAGTGAAGCACGGCGCCCTTCGTGATGTAGGCGACCTCCTCCGTGCCTCTACCATGCGTTGCGACAAGTGTGGTTCGCATACCATGTATGAGACTAGAGTCGGTCCGGATAGAGTAGATTGTTTCTTCCGTCTTGGCATCGATGAGTGTGGCGTTCAGGAAACTCTCTTCGCTGAGATCAAGTTCTCTGCACCCTGGGGGATGGCAAAATCTGATGTTCCCAGACATGTCGAGGGCTTGGAGTGTTGGATAGAACCCAAGGGGAGTCAAGCGTGAATCTCGCATGCTGGAGGCGTCTACATTCGCGTTGTGACGTCACGCAAGAATAGCTGGACATTCCCAGACTTTTGTTAGTTTCGGCAACGGTCACACACTCGGGGGAGAAGGCATTGAGCCTGGGGCTGAATTCACAGGGAGCACCTTGGAATTGGGGTGCAACATTGAGCAGCTATGGGGCGGAGTAGGTCACGGCGTTCGAGTTGTAGCCAGAAGTAGCCAGAAGAAGGGGATGCTTCACCTGAAAAATCGCGAAGCACCTCGCGTTCCTATAGCAGCAAACAATCCGTTGCTTGAGCAGGCCGGGACAGAGAAAGCCGTAGCTATAGTCGGTCCGCAAAAATTCAAACAATGCACAAAGCGAACTGGAGACAATGAGATGCCGCCCCCGGCATTCCCCGAACCGAACCAACCATCCACGTGATAACCTGATATGGATGAGGCCATTGGTATTGGCCGCTTGTTGGACATCACCAGCAACGACGAAGTCGAGCACTCGCCGTCAACGTCGTCCACGACGATGAGCAGACGGCAGTCGCGTGTCTCCACCGACGCAAGACAGAACGATACACTCCTCGAGTTTGAGAACTGTGAGCCTTCTCTCCCTCGTGTTCCAGAATCTCATCTCATCGAATCCCGTGGTGGCCCTCGCAGACAAGAAGAAGTTTCTGCTGGCCAACAAACATATCACCAAGTACGTTGCCACGTTTCTGCGATGATTTGAAAGATAATAGGTCTCACAATCTTTCCAGGTTGAACTCGTCGTTGAGCGTTAGGGTCGAAGAACTCAATGCCCAAATCTCCACTCTGTATGTTGAGAACCTCCGCTTGCGCGCCTCCGAGATAGCGCTAGTCGCACAACTCAAGAAGGAGCGGGAGAAGTCGCGGAGGGTTATGTCGGATGCTGAGGCAGCGGTGAGTGTTGGCTAGGATGCTCTAGTTGTCGTTGCACCTCATACCAAGTTGCAGGTACACAACTTCATGAAACATCTGGGGTATATCCGCAAGTCACACAACATTCCCCACGGACGACCATCATCCCCCGAGTCACAGCCTCATCTTCCTCGTGCCCGCCGTCCAGTACCCAACCCTGACGCTTCACCTCCACCGAACAGGCTAGCTCGACCCCCGAACTTCCCGAACATCCATGAAGACGACGAGGGGAACGGTTCCTCTCCTGAGAGTCCCGGCCTTGACCATGACGACGACGAGCGGGATGCCGCTAGCCCGACACCTGTTCTGCGGAAGAGCAAACCACGGTCCTCGGGCTCGAAACTTCCCCTGCCCACACGAGCCCCATCTCCACCGCCCCTCCCAGCTGTAGGCGCTCCAGTGATTAACTTTGATCAAGAACTTACCAAGGCCGGGAAACGGAAACCAACACGACGGCAGAGCGGGTTGCTCACCACTAGTATGTCGATTACTACCGTCACGGAGGTTCCAAGAGCACCGAGCCCCGTGTTCGGAGGACCGTTACATCGAGAGTTGGCCCTGGAGGAGGAAGAGGAGGAAGTTATGGCGGTCATCGCCGGGGTTGATGGGCAGGATGACGAAGAGCCTGAGCTGATCGCACAGAGTATATTGCGGAAGGAGAAGAAGAAGAGGACGAGAGAAAAGGAGAAGGAAGTGATAGGCGCAGAGTCAGAGAGTCGGTCGTCTGGCGAGAGTGTCAAGAGGGAGAAGGAGAGGAGGAGGATACGAGATATAGAAGAGCAGCCAGCACCGGCTGCGGAGGGGAGCAAGAAGTCCAAGTTGAAGGACGTCACGAATTCTCCACCTGTACTATCACCCTTGGATACCGCGTTATCAGGTCAGTGTTCATTTTGCGAGTGTCCGCGCAGGTATGTCCACAAATAGCTGACGATAGCACAGATCGCGACCGTCGCAGCACACCTGATACCGCCGATCAACCCAGTTCTGCCACATCGACCATGACCACTTCCTCTATTATGACCTCACGGACATTCCTAACGACACCTTCCACGACCCCGGCACCCTCGCTCAAGTCTGAGCCTCAATATTTACCGACTCCACGATCGTCCAGTCCTATTCCACCAACGGACGCATCTGACTCCGAGCAGCAGGCTGCGACGGGAGGCAGGGAACGGCGTGCCAGGAGAAGCGTAAACTACGCTGAACCGAAGCTGAACACGTGAGTTGCCCCGTCTTACAATTGACGTATGTCTTTGGTTTTTCTTACGAGTGTATTTGGTACCAACAGGAAAATGCGCAAACCGGACGGTTACGTCTCGTCAATAAAGCGACAATCCGTGTCGAATGCTGACGGGCCGTCTGCACCTCGGACATCCGGGGAATACGCAGCACCTGATCAGCCGCAGCCGTTGGACGATCCGCAGCTCGGTGGTACAGTTAAGCGGAAGAAGTCGCGGGCGTATGTGTTGCCGGAGGACGGCGAGGAGAGCGAGGGTGCTCAGGCGGACGCTGAGTACGCGGGTTCGCGCGCAGGGAGTGGAGGGTGGGTGAATACGGAGGGTCGACGGCGGAGTGTCCAGACGAGTGGAAATAGGTTGAAGATGCTGGAGGGAGATGACGGCCGGAGGCACAGTATGGCAGTATAGGTACGTTGGTTCTTCAACTTCACCATTTACTGGTATGGCAACCGCTGGAATGATCCATTAGTTTGTATGTCGCACATGTTACTTTTGTTTTCCAGGTCTCACTTACAGATGAGCTTACGTCGCATTAGTTATGGTTTTTAGCATTCTTGATTCATGTACTTATCCTATTAGGTCCAATATTTCCGACGCATAGTCTACCCTATGTACTACTAT